TCGGCCCCGATTTCCCCCCCCTCGGCTCGCCTGCATCTGAAGTACGCGTCGGGAGCGCCTCCTGCTCAGGAACTGCTAATTTACTCCTCGTAATAAAGAGATGATAGATACGCGCGTGTGTAACATATGTACGTATGCTAAATTTGTTAGCACGGGTGAAAACACGTAACTATGCTTTTATAGATAAATTTAAAACATGTATGCTGAATCTGTTGGCAAGATTTTTACGTGAAAATGCTCTTCCCTACCTTTAGGTCTCCCCTAAAATGTGCTTTTCCCGAGTCAGTGCTGATAAAACAAAATCTAATAAAAAAACCTATTTCTTTCTCCAGAGTACCTTGTGGATGATCCAGCAGTCAGAGGGTTGTGATGTCTTCTTGTACCCATCCCAGCCCTGTTGTGATACCTCCTTTGCAGTTCTCACAGCCTGGCTCAGTCCCATGCAGTCCCACTGGCATCAGATTACACCCTTTTTTATAAAAAAGCATTTGGGCAATTTTAAGTTTTTCTAGGATAGCCTTCATGTTAGCTTACGTGACTGACAAAACGTCTCTGGCTTCCTTGTCTTCATTTGCACGCTGCAAGGAACACGGGAGCTTACCAGAAGTTAGCTTGGCAAGGGATTTGTATAATTAATATACCTGATAATCCACAAAGCATTTGATCCCTGAGGAGAATTATTACGGTGCCTGTCTTCAACATACCCATTTAGATTTTGAACAAGGTTTGCTGGCACATACCTTCTTTACCAGCCAGCTAGTGATTAGCATTGCCAGTACAAGTTTTCCTAGAAGCCCGATGGAGGCAGATTGAAGTAAAATACTTGCACAAAATAATTAACACCCATCTTCCCTGTAGTCCAGTCGCAGCCATACCAGGTGATTCAGGAGTATTGCAACAGATGCTGTATCATTAAGTACCAAATGCACAGCAATGGAGTTAAATACTAAATTCACTGCAAGTTGTGAAGTAGCAACTGTGGAGTCGATTCACCAATTTTAGTTGGGGTCTAACATGCAGCTGAGGTACGTTTTGCTGGCTGCTTGTTATTTTGGCAAGAGCCTAACAGTCAAAAAAGAAGAAACATGAGGTTAACAGAGTTCCCTTTCTTTTCCCTACATAAAGATATTTGAAAGAATATAGAAATTCTTGAAACATTTGTAATTCCTGAAGAGTCTCTGCTATAATCTAGAAGATATGCTAACTGTTGCATTACTTCTAAAAATATTTTTCTTTAGGTTTATCATTTCCTATCCAAAACCAAATGGAATTACTAAACTATTTCATATTCTTTTATCCAGCTGAATAACTGACTTTGCCTTGTCTGGTTTTGTTGTTGTAAATATGAAACAGGAAGGGAAATAATAAAGCTGGAATACTATAGACAGATTAATAGATACTACCAGTGTGGCAGTCAACCAGGACTTACATGATCAAGGGCTCTGCATGAACCTTTCTATTGATAAATACTGAAACCTGAGGAAGGAGATGAAGAACAAGCAAAAGAACATCAGTAACAGCCTGTTCAGCGTGGGATAGCCAAGTACATAAAGCAATTGATAATGAATTACCATGTCTCCTGGCACATAGCTGCAGCATCCTAAGACAAAAATCTCAAATCCTTATTTATGAGCATCACATTAGTTATCAATCACTAGCAATGAATGGAGAAACACCCTAAATGACAGGGAACTATTTATGTATTTCAGCACATCCAAACTGTATTAAACAACTTCTTGCCTGTGGCAAAGACTACTATATATAGCCATAGCAAATAGGTGAGATCTTGTTTATCATTGAGTGGCAACATTTTCGTTCAATATAGTTGGAATTGGATCCTAAGGTTTAATTGGGAGTAATGGTTATTCAATAGCTATTTTAAGCCCATATTTCATGAAATCAAGCCAGTTTAAAGGAAAAAAAAATCTCATTCACATTCTAATTGCTAAACTCTGACCTGATTAAAAACATTATTATTTACATATGCCGTGCTTGTACAGGGACTTCTGTGCCAATCATATGCCATGCTTGTACAGGGACTTCTGTGCCATCTGAACCTCTGGCTAGGGGACAGAGGTTGCTCCTATACCTATCACATGAAGATCTTGATATATTGCTCCTAAAAAGAGGGAGGCTGGCTACTGTATCGAGGTCATTTCCTCAGGCATCCTTTTGCAAAAACTCTATAACCTTGTTGTGCAGAGCATATTACCTTGTCAGTAAAAACTTAAGGTTAAGTTGCTTTACCACATTATAAAGGTCTTCAGGAAGAACAGGGCCTGTGTGGGTACAACCTTTTAAGATTTAGAACCTGCTTTATGGAGACGCTTGAAAAGTTTCTCGATCTGTAAGCAGTTCTAAGTAAGAACAGGCAACTGGATTGAAATACAGACCTTTGGAAACTTTCCTCTTCGTTCCTGTTTATTTAAAAGAAAGGAGTAACTGACTGGATTACTCAAGCTACAATAGTACATCATGACGAAATTCTCCAATGTTACTATCTAGCAAGAAATATGTGATATGTAAAGGCTAATATACAGTGAAGGATTTTAGTGTTCCTTATATGAAAAATGATGTAATATAAAACCAATTTGAATACTTTTGAATCTGAAATTCATTAAAGATTTCAAGTTCATACAGTGGAGGAGACTTGCAGTGTCCCCAGATCAGCGGCAAGAGCTGAGGTAATGACTTAATATAGTTTAAATTACAATTTGGGTTTCCCATAACATCCTGCCTTGTGTCTCTTTCATACAGCATAGCGAGGTTTTTAAAAGGGAAAGACTGTTTTGATTTTGTACCTTATGATACTACACGTATATTGTTAACACCAAGCAAATACATACTGATAGTTCCAAAAAAAAAAAGTATGAATGTATAAAGTGTCCAGTGATCCCAAGCAGCCTTTAAGTTTTTCAGGTAAAATATTTAAATTAACAGGAAAAAAGAAAATATTTTGTGGTGGGCAGGTGCATGAGAGCAATGACTCTTCCAAAGCACAAAATGGTGAATCTACAGAAGTCTGCGTAACACCACTCTGACATAGGTCTGTAAAGTTATTTCATGGTCACTGGGTCAAAGATCAACATAAACTAGAATTAAATATCTTTCGTTTCCAGCACGTGGATAAGTGTTTTCAATTATTCACATGCAGTTCATTCACCTGAACACCAGCAGAGTCATCTGCAGTTTTTTAAGCTGCGTGCAATGGTGCTCAACCAGCCCTTTTGACCCCAGCAGCAGCCAGGTGGCCAGTGACCTCCTGCTGCTGCTGGAGCAGCTTGCAGTCCTCTCACAGCGCAGGCTGGCAACCCTATCCTTTCTTCAGGAACCCAGCTGAGACATGCCAGATCTTCTGGGAGGCTGGGAGGCTAAGCTGACATCAGTACTGCAGAATCGGTTGAAGTGGGAGTGCAATAAAGCAGAGGGAGGGAATTCCAGAAAAGAGAAAGGGTTTCACAGGGGCAGACAACAGGTAAAGAAGGGAAGAAATATCAGGATAGGAGAAAGATGGGATAAACTTTGAGGGCTAGGGATTGACAGCAGACGTGGAGGCAGAGGTATCATTTGGCCCTTTATTTAGTGCTCAAAAGACCTCAGGACACCACGTTGTCTCCATGGTTTGGAAGCCCTCCGCTGCCATGTGCACTTGGTACGCTCAAGAGAACTTGGCAATAATGCAGTCCCCACAGCAGTCAGGCCCTGTATCCCTGACAGAGACTAGAGCTCATTAGGGGTGAGCCTAGAGCAGACGTTCCAGTTTGGTTTCATGGT